AAACTTTACAATCAAATTAGCGAGTCGAAACAGTACACAACATATTATATTATGTATAATTTATATGACCACATAATGTTATAATAAAAACTGAGCCTGTAAAACAAGTTCTTTTGAAGTTAAATGTTTTATGTCGACATGGTTGGTAGTACGACTTCAATACATGTGAATTTAATGTAGTATATCGTCATGCCCTTTGCAAGTCGTATAAGTATTTTAACGGCCATTACGCATTGCCATTGTGCCGTTTACCAACACTAATCTTAGCACCTAATATACTTTTATATATTTAATAATTTTTAAGGCCTTGCACGGCGTACAGTTGCGAGCAGTGACGTTAAAAATGTACTTATATGCGGTGTCATCAAAAATAAATAAAAATCCATATATTTCAGAAGATCTTGATGACGTCTCAATGTGTGATGGTTAAGTCATTAAAATAAGAAACGAACCATAATATACACTAATGACCAACCATTATACTTTATAATTTGCATGATCTGACTAAAACAGTGCAAGAAATAATATGATACAAAATTATTTTTAATCCAACACCTCTTGATGACCTGATCTCAATAATAATTTATAATAAACAAATTGTATGTTTTTAACAGAAATTTCGCATATATAAACAAAATAAAATATGGTAAATGAACTGTTATWAATCTTATAGTGAAAACAAATACGTACATGTTATGGTATATTTGAGTTTGAAGTGATTGATATTCTTTTTTTCTTGATAGTTTTTGAACCGAATGTTTATGTGAAAATAAATCTCTGAAATTACAATAAATATAGTCATGGGACGACGCGATGTTATGTTTTGAGCCCCCGACAACCTCGATAATGATTAAACGTCAGTGCACGGAAACCAAAACCGTCGCCTTGTAAAAATCGTTTAGACTCCAACGGCTGTGTGGGACAGAGGTAGAGTGATTTCTACCCCTTAATGGGCTGCGGGAACCACACGGGTGGTATCGGGAACGCAGGCACACGCGACCTCTGCACCTACCCGCCATCAGTCATTGCAACACATTTACGTGGAAGATGACGTTATAAGGGTGTTCAAAACTCGACATGTTTCTTGTATTTTGTATTCCAAAGGTAATCTAACATTCTAACTAGGAACCGCATGAAACCATCGGGACCTACACGCTGCAGACTGCAGTAATGGCTTTTGTTTCAATAACATATAATATTAATAGTAATGTCTTAAGTGTAAATTATAATAATAACATGTCGTTGTTGTTGGTCATAAACGAAGTAAGATCAACAGATGATGAAATCAAATTTGGAAATTTGTGACGTATTTGCTGACTTAATACAACGAATAAATTACAAAAATAAAATATTATTTTATTACRATATTAAACATTACGTTCATATTATATTATTATCGTTATGTTTACCACACTTATAGTTTAATTATAATAATATCATGATAAAAAATATACAGTTTGAAATCTGGAACTTACTTACTCTAATATAGTTATTAACCCATAGCTTATAAGTTATAATATATGGTTAAAACTATATAAATTATTATAATTCAAATTTTCAAACATTTGTAATTGGTGTCCTTTCGTTTTATAAACATAGTTCTAAACAATTTTTTTGTTTTAACAAAGTTAAATTTTAGTAATTTAAATAAAATTAATTAGACGTTATAATTTCCTATATCCTATTTACATATAAGTATACAATCCCGTTTTATAATTTATGAATATATACAAATTTTAATTCCATCTAGATTGATTTTATACAACTTAATAATCACAAATATCTATACATACATTAACGAGGATAGATATTACTCTAATTATTATTAGTTACTGTATCGACGATAACGCGTTCTACCTGGGCGCGTAATCATTTTGCAAATATGTATTGGATGTTTTTTGAGCTCCGTGAAACGTGGAAGGTCTATGATGGTAATGATGCTGGTAAGACATGTGGTATCCGGTCGCTATCTCTGTGTTAGAATTCTTTTGATGGAGTCTACAAAGGTATAGGAATAAAATAACAAATTATAAAATTCTCATTTCTCGTTTRGAAAATAAAAATTGCAAATAAATATTTACTATTTTATTATCATGTTTATATTAATGAGTAATACTTTGTTATTATAATTTATTATWATTTTTATTTTTGCTTTTAAATATAGCTGTTCCGTAAACAAACTAACTTAACCAACTTAAGGAGGGTCAATGGTCAATACTACTGATCGTTTATTTTTATGAAAACATATCTGTTTTTCGATCACGATACAAATATAACTACTAGATAATAAACTATTACTATTATTATAAGAATTCAGCAAACATGATTAGATTCATTATATTGTTWACTTGAGATAGAACACCCATCCTACTTGATCAAATTTTGATTTTTTTTCAACCTCTTAAATTTGATTTTGAAATGTAAAATTAATGATTTCTTGAAACAGAGGTAATACAAATATAGAAGTTAAAAACTAATAAATCAATTACAGTGAAAACCCTTTATAACGAAACTCGTTACAACGAAAAACTCTATATTACGTAAATAACATTAAATTAACTTATAATGGTTGGTTTGATTTAAAACCTATTAATTACTCTCTATTACGAAAAYTCTCAATAACGAAAGAAATCACATGGTCCCTTCAGATTCGTTATAGAGAGTTTTCACTGTACTTATATCAATTTCAAGTAAATTTCATAGCAAATTTAAATGTTTTTTATATAGTGCCCTACCATAATTTTTATACCACAACATAATGAACATACAAACACGCTCATAACACACAAGAACACGACAACACGCAAATATTATTTAGAAACATAGATAATTTCTGTATTGAATTAAAAAACGGCTAGTAGATATCCTTCAATGAAATTATAGTAGGTAAATAATACAAATGTTGTTTAAATATATTATGTAAATGCTGATTTTATATAATATATTGCAATAAAACAAAATACTTAGGTAATTATAAAGTGTATTATTTACTAMATTTTTTTCAACAAAATATTATTTTAAAAATGTCATTACTATTTTATTTACTAATGTAAATGTGATTAAATTTAAATTTACAAACCAGTAACAACAGTTCAATCAACTATACATGTCCTAGATATTACTTAAGAGTTATAGAGGTCTAAGTTTTAGATAATTAAGATGTATAACTACTATATATTGTTTTCTATATACTAATAGACGCAATTATTTTGTTTGCACGGCACATTTGACTCGTCGCGTGTAATTAGAGTCCATATGTCAGTCCAACAGCGACAATATAATAATGTTCTTATGTATATATAGAAAATCGACAAGCGCCACCGTAACTTTATCTCTTCTGTGATTCCAGAGCTAATTTTGACCACTATTGTTATTGCTCTAATGTCCATGTTACCAATTCATCAACTAAGTTGATTCCGGTAAGTCTTTTGACATTTTTCTATCACTAGTCAATGTTTGTCTATGCAGTGTGGGCGAGTGTGGCTGTCTACTGTACTGTCCTACACTTTTGAAGATTAGTCACTGGTTACGGGACCAGGTGATGCTAAATAGTCACCTCAGTCTTCTTGGCYCTATATGGGTATACTGGTATACATATAAGCCACTACTTATACTAGTATTAATATAATACACTATATTATCAAAGGTATTAAACTATACTGAAATAGTGGAACCAGATGGCGGGAATCAGCAGACGACTATAGAGATAGATGGTGGTATGTTTATTTAACGGTATGGTCTTGATTAGCCGAAACTAAGTCAAAAGAAAAAGAAGAACTATATAGGTACTTATAAAGCAAATTTTTTTWAAACTTTTTGTTCATACTAATTTGTTAAATTTCTATTTAACTTAAAAAATTTGTAGTTTAAGGATAGTTGTCTATCGAAATCGCGAATAAAATTTCTCGGTTTTAAAATAATCCATCAAATTACAACTAAAATTTTTTTGAAATGATTGGTTTTGTACATTAAAAAATTGCTGTATGTATTTGTTTTAAATAAAAATAATCTAATAGTTACTACCTATATTAGATACCTATCTATGTTATGTTTGATAAAATAATGCCATGTTACAAATCTCTAATATTATTATAAAAATGTATAGATTACTTTTTTTAACCGAGTTGAGATTAAATTAGTTTTTCTTTTTCATATTAAATTTAAAATTAACAAGTTGAATAATTTAAGTATTGTCCGGTAACTATTCTAACTTCTATCTTAAAGCTCTTGTGTTCACTTTATTACTTAACTTGAGTGAAGTGTTTTCATTAACTTGTCTAACTTTATTATAGRCTCTCTAACATTATATACCTAGTAGTTATTATAGTATTTCGTAAGTATGTACCTGTCATATCCGTGAAAYGGCGAGTAGTTATGATGTGYATATGTAGGTGACGCGAATATCGGTCCGTAATTGCATACTTGGCTCAGGTAAGGCGTGACCGGTACGGTTGGGGTAGTAGCCGCTGTTGTTGCGTTCAAAGGCATTTGGTGTTGTCCGTGCGTAGTAGCTTGCATCATGTGTGGCGGCGAAGCAGATGACGAACTATCGCTGTTGTACATGTTCTCCATCACACCTGTGGATAGGAGAAACACGCATGTACAYATTAATATGATATAATGTTGTTTCAATATTTTTATCTGCACAATCATATTATTATATAGGGTGATTTTTAAGCATGATCACCCCATTTTGCCTCCAATAATACATTTATTCAAATTCTGATCTTTAGACTTTTTGAACATATCTGAGACAATATTTTGAAATTCCTAACATTTTTGTAGGTACTAGTTTTTAGCCTTAAGGAGTGTCCTATAGCAATACAAACTTCTATATGTTTTAACTTTTAAATAAGAACCCCCTCTTTTTTACTGCAGATTATTTAGCGAATGATTTTCCCGAAAATGCGGCTGATGTATCTAAATCGAAATTCTGATGAAAAGTTTCTGAGTTATTAAAATTTTTATACTAAAATAATAATCATTAAAAATGATTTTAGAAAAATATTAACTATATATAATGTACCTAATATTAGAGGTATAGTATTTACTATACTTAAATAATTTTTATAAGCTATTTATTGTATTAATTGTTTAATAGCAATTAATAACATTTTCAAATCACCTATGTTCTCATATCTACTTAACCCATTACCATGTAGACTTATTATGCTTAGTACACATAGTGGGCATCATATAACAATTAGCTGAAGTTACGTGAGATATACTGAAAACAAGGTGTTGAAATCAGTTGTTTTGTACTTAATAATACACGCGTTTACCCACTTTACAATATTATTTTTAGTGGATGAAAAATGTATAGAAGTAGCGCATTCCGTTGACGTGTTTAGTGATTCAAAATCGGTACCCACGGTTAGGATATCGAAAACCACTCGAAACCGTTGTAATCCCATGGGAAAAAATAGGTTGTTATGATATCCAAGTTTCATAAGTTCATTAAAAAAATGTTTACTATATTATTACGAGATATTCAGACGTACACCTCTCAATTTTCTATCAAAATATTTTAAATATTTTTGTATTTAAAATAAGCTGTGGGATAATAGGTATAACATAAAAATACAACATTAACATCTAAAATATTTAACACTTATTAAGATATTCAATATTTATTTATTTATTTATGAACAAACGCTAATAATTAATTTTTATTTTGTTTGTAACTTTATTCAAAGTTTATTTTATTTCAGTTTCAAATTGATAATCATATATGTTTTTTTTACAAAGTTATTTAATCAAAATTGGTCATGTTATGACAAGTTAGAAAGTATTTATTATAAAAATTATAATTTATCTATTGCAGATCACTTTATTATTATAGCYCTACAGGCTACAGCGCGATTTAATATTCTGTGATAAATTGAAAATAGATATCTATATCATTAAAATTAAATTATTTATAAACACAAATCCTAAATTTATAAGTATTAAGGGAACATTAATTTTATTTTTAGGTTAACGACACGTAATTAGTATGTCTAGATGTTTTACGGGTAGATTTTTTTCGTAAACGTTAGCTGATCCAGTAGGATTTTTGTCTACGTGACCTCGATGATTTGTGAGGCAGTATGATGCACATTTATCATTCTAATAGGGACGACTAGCCAGACGTTTGAATGAATACAAAATTGTTATATACACATATAATTTCATTAAATACAAAGGATTACTACTGAATTTCAAACATGAAGTATTACATTTTAAATCATTACATTCGTTTCATTAAATTTAAACGCGCATACTTATTGTACCATAATATTTGATATTATTAATTTTTATAACATGAAATGAATAATAATTCAATATACGCCTTTTAAATAATATGTAATAGGTATATTACATATTATTATTATATAAATTTACGTCATTACGGTATTTTATTTTCTAACAACCGTATTATATTCTGTGATGTGAATATTTTATTTTTGTTTTTATATATAAGTTCTGTTAATTAGACAAATAACTTTTTAAGTCATTTGACAGTCAGTTGGTTTCAATACAAATTGCATATATAGTTGAGGTCCAAAGTGGTGTAGGATTAAGAAAAGAGATTGATAGGATTTTTAGATTTTTTTTCAAATCGAGGAAACAAATCGTTATTTTTAACCGGTATATTTGTATATATTTTATTGGCATAAATTTAGGCTGTAAAAAATGAACTGAGGGATGTGGTGAGGACTGCTGTCGGAAACGGTACGAGCGTCACACATATTTTGACATAGACGTTGCTACTCAGTTTACAAAGATATTTTTATTTATACTTATGCACATAATGTATAATATTTAATTTATTTTGATATTTTGTTCGGATAAACGTTCGGGTGGCACGGTAATAAATTGACTACAATATCCACACCAGTGACAACTGTTTTCAAATTTAAATAAATTTGTTGTATATAATTTTATTTTGGCACCTGCCATCGGCAGTACATAAAACAGAATAGAATAATTTAAGTTGTAATAATATACCAAACTCGCTTCTATAGTGTTAAAAAAAAATGTATACACTCGATTTACTTAAACATTTAATTGGTAAATTTTGTAAATGCCCAGGATTTGTAAAATATTCAAATATCTAAGAAAAATTATACTCAACTCTTATTTAAATTTAAATAAGTTTTTAATTTTTGTGATTGTAATTTTGTTTTACTTCAATTTATTATATTATACCGTAGTTTAAATATGTTAATTTACTACCCGCGAGCAAAGAATTTTTTATCTTTTATAAATAAATAAATATACCTACTTAGAATTTTATATTTAATATTTAAATAGTTTTATTTTTAAGTATGCCGTGAATAGTATTTAACTACAAAAATGTATTAGATGGTATTGATTTAAATATAGATTAATTTATTGTAGATAATATTATGTACCATAATCAAATAGTCGTCGGGTGTAAATATTATTTATGTGTTTTAGAAGTATTTTTAAATTAATCGAAAATAAATTAATTTCATGTATGTTGATTAAAAATATTAAATTAATACGACTAATACAAGTTTTCAATATAGATATATTATATAATTCCATTCCAATCATCAAATATAATACCTAGCTATAATTCTATAACATCAGATACATATAGTTAAGGAATAACACTGATAGCATATTAATATATATATTATGCTATAATATACATCATAGATAATACATTAATACTTATATCCTATATTAGCTATATTATAGAATAAAGAAGTAGATAATGATAGTTGAATATATAGTTGAAAATAAATTTAAAATTGTTATTAAATTCAACAATTTTTCTTCTATTTCAGTAAATTATTCAAAATTTCCATTTAGTACTAAATAATCAGAGCCAGCGAACATAGGCATGAGATGGTTTTTAATTGTCTCGTTTAGAAACAGACGAGAGACTGCTAATGCGACGGAACGTCAGCAGTGGTATGCCTATTTAACGTTTCTCGAAAATATTATGATAAATGACTACCATAGACAACTCTGATAATTAATGACAGTTTTCGGGTGCAAGCAACATAATTTTAAGTACAACGCTACGTATAATATAAGTTTTTTATCATTTAAAATTGTATTTTTATGTTTTTAAGCGATGGACATGATTTAAATAGCATCTAAGAGTAAAAAACTAAAACATTTTTCAAAACGAAGGCGTTGAGCTTAAAACGATTAAAGAATATACCAAAACGAKTTGGATAAGTATACGTATTATATCAGTAATATCACATTAACATAACCTACAGTAAGTATATATAGGTGTGTTAATTATTTCTATTTTTAAAAATTTAAAATAAATATAAAACAATAGTTAAAACATTTAAGAACTAGGTACAAAATTTATTTGCTTCAAATAGTTCAAATTATATTTAATATCGCGAATATCGGTAATTTATTAATTATATTTTACTATATTTCAGTACCTATATTATTTTAGATTTTAGATTTTGTGGTTTTGTGTCAGAATTTATTTAAGATCTGTGGATTTTCGTTCGTTTTGAAAAAATTGATCAAGAACAAAATTTCAAATACGAAATATATGAAAATTAACACATAATTTACCTTAAAGGGATTATTTTTCG